CTCTCTCTCTCCCTCCCTCCCTCTCTCCATCTCTCCCTCACTCTCTCTCTCCGTCCCTCTCTCTCCGTCCCTCTCTCCGTCCCCCCCTCACTCCGCTGACCGTTCCATCGCTAGATATATAGCGCGCCTTCCCGTTACCTGTCATGCGCAGCGACCGCTCTGCAAGGCACGGCCATCGGGGGCGGCGCCAGGATCGGCGCCAGCGCGGGATAGATGATACGTTCTGTCCCCCACGACGCCACGCGTCCTGCACCGTGTCCGAGTCCGCTCGCGTGGACATGGACACGTTCTGCACCCCCGTAGACTACTTTTCAGAAACTATGCTTTCAAAAAAGCATAAGTTTTCCATTAAATCCGTTTATAAAACAACTCTGCTAATCCAAGTGCAGAAGTGTTTGCCACTTGTAACTGTAAAACTCTTGAGTTCTGCACTAAGAAGTCAATATTGCTTCTGGTTGCTCCCTCTGCAGAGCAATCTTATTTTGAGTCATACCATCGTCTTCAGCGTGAAATTTCGAATCAAACGAGCCTACATGTGATGGGGGTCTGATCCACGGTTCACGGCTCTAAGAATGTGCACAATGTCAGTAGTTTTCGATCAGACCCCCATCACATGTAGGCTCGTTTGATTCGAAATTTTACGCTGAAGACGATGGTATGACTCAAAATAAGATTGCTCTGCAGAGGTAGTAACCAGAAGCAATATTGACTTCTTAGTGCAGAACTCAAGAGTTTTACAGTTACAAGTGGCAAACACTTCTGCACTTGGATTAGCAGAGAAGAGAGTTCCATTGCAAAATGAAAAAAAACAACAGATGGGATCAATTGAATTAAATTAAATTAAGTCTTTAACAAATTCCCATTAAAAAGAGGTCATCCAGATCACGTCCGTCTGTCGTCGTTATCTGCCAAGTTAGGCCTCTTTAAATCTCTCTTCGCGCCTGGTTGGTAGGCAACATCTTCCATACAGTGCATGCGTGTACTGCGGGGTGGCCTACCCTGAGCCTCGCAGGCGACGAGCTCGACGCAAGTTGCCGAATGAATCAGATGAGAACGGACGTAGGCCTACTTTCTGGACGATCCCTAATGTTATATCCAGTTAAGAATTGGTCGTATCCACGCTTAGCGCAGCGCGCGCTCACGCCGGCGTGAGGCGGGCGAGGGGCAGGGTGCGGGGAGGCAGCGGTGGAAGAACTGCTAACCCCGCTTCGCCCCCCGCTTCCCCTCTCGCGCCAGCGTGAGCGCACGCTGAGCGTGGAAACGACAAAATTCTTAACTGGATATAGCATAAGCAGTCGAATAAGCACGGAGAACAAGAAACATTTCTCATAGCGCAACAACGAGATGGATCGCATTCAACTTATCTCGTCCTCCCATTGAACTTCGCATTCATTCTGCGGGTTCAAACTGCGGTTCCCGTTTTAGTGCATCCATTTTCTACTTTTTACTTCCTGCCGAGCGAAATCCCTTTCATATCAAGTGGCACCACAAGCTGTCCATGGCGTCCTGTTGTACATATCCCGCTCGCTCGCACACATGAGATGATCCCCCGGCATGCCCCGGGATGCACGTACCTTGTACACCTCCGCGCTGCCGCTGCCGCTTCCGCTCCAAAGTGAGGTTAGGTAATGCGTTCACACATTGGCATGCGCTCTGAGAGGGGACCCACCACCACCGGCCGGCGTTACGCCACGCGCCAAGCAAGAGAGACCTTCCGCCGTGGGACCTACGCGTAGGTCCTTTATGCCGTCAGGTCGTCAGGTCCTTCGAACTATCTCATAGGTCACCGCCTCACCCGGGCCAAGGCGCAAGGCACCCGATTACATCAACGCCCGGCTTGTCCCGGCCTGCGCTGCTATTGTCGTGGAGAGGTTAGGCCGGCCATTGTGCTAAGTTCAAGGCGCGGCTCGGCGACGGGACGGACGGGAGCGGCGGACTGGCACTCGCTCGATTGAATTGAAGAAGTTGGAGAACAGTAAACAACTTGCTTGTTTTTGCAACAACAACAAAAAAATGTGTCGACAAGAGCACTAGGCCTACTGCCTATCCTATGAGTGTGCAACACACCTCTCTACCTGCCTACCCCGTTTTAGAAACTGTATCAATTAATCGCATGTGGACACATATCACACAGTTTGTAAGAAAAGGGAACAACTTCAGCGGCAGCAACTAGTTTAGAACAGGTTCCATTCAAATCCAGTTGTCAAACCACCCTCAACTTTTAATGAGGATGCTTAATATTCTAAACGCGGCACATGGGATTACAAACTGGTAAAGAATTATCCAAAAATTAGGTAGTACAGTTAATACTAAGAACCTTAAAAAGTGCAGAGGCTCCATAGTACTTTATACCCCACACAAGTCGAGCAACTAAATTATACTCCTCAGAGAGCAAAGTCGAGCGGCTCGCGGTACTTCAGTTTACGGGTAAAGAATTTTGGTGAGTTCGTCCAGTTTTCTCCAGCAGGCGCAGCAGTGAAGCTCAGCGCGGCAGCCTCTGCCTGCAGCACAGCAGTGTCCAGGACAATCACCTCTGCGGCTCCAGTCGGGGCTAGCCGAGGCTCCAGCCTCACCGCGCCCAGCCGCGCCTCACTATCACAGACGTTCTCCCCGCCGCACAGGCAGTGCCGGGGCGGGGCGGGGCGGGGCGGGGCCCGACATAGTGTTATGAAAAACAAATTACAACGGTGGGTCGGGAAGGGAGGGGGGGGGTCATATTGATACCGCACCGCTGGGCCCGGTACCTCCTTTGATGATGGCCCGAAAGGGGTGGGGGTGGAGGGGGCGGGCGATACCCGACGATAAAACACCCGAAGCTCAACTAAAAGACGACGCGGGGTCCGCCTTTGGATCACACACACACTCGATCAAAAATGACCCATCAGGGGGAAAAAAGGGAAAACGAGAGACGGCCAGAACGAGGGGGGAGAGAAGACGTGATCGAAAATTGGAAAAGCAAACAACTAAAAAGAAGGTGGTGCTGCCATGTGCTGCTGCCCCGCCCATGGCGCGCGCGCGCGAGCGTGACCCACATCAGCCGAAGCCTCTATTACAGTTTCCCTATAAGCCAAGTAAATTGAAACTTGTTTGTCAGGTGGCGAGGCGTCAGCCGGCCCCGGCCGGCCAGTCTCCGCCCGCGGGCACCTCGCTGTCACCGGCCTCAAGCAGTACACGCTCGTCTGCTGCCTCCTCCCCCGGCCGCCCGTCTGCCGAGTGCCGGTGTGAGAGCCGGAGTCGGAGTCCCCCGCGGCGGCAACGTCACGGCCCCGCCGGAGAGCTGGCCGATAAGAGCGTCAGCGGCCCGACAGGTTGATCCCGGGCGGGCGGGCCCGGCTCCCTGAACCCTCCATATCCGACTACTCCTCCTCAGTCAAGGACATTACGGCTCGACTGTCGGCGCCAGGGCCCCTTGGAATATTCCCTTACAAAACAAACCACCTGTGGGAACGAAAATTGGAGGGAAAGGGGGAGGGGGGGAAGCCCCCGTGCCCTCCAGATATAGGAAACCTTAGAACCCCCCATTCTTCCTTCCACCTACCTGATGAAGATGCGTTGTCCAGGTAACGAGGGTCCGACTCGTTGTCTGGAGACGGCGCGTGATCCGAGCCGATGCCGGAGGATCCCCCGGAGGAGCCCACCAGGGCGCCGCCGGGGCCGCGGCTGGTCTGCGCCGCGGGGTGCCCGACGACGCCCGCCCCTCCGGAGCCGGCCGAGCCGCGCTTGCCGGCGTGCCGGCCGTTGGCCGCGGTCGCGGCGGCCGGCTCCTCCTCCAGGGCGTTGTTCTTGGAGTTCTTGATGTTGACGCCGACGATGCTGGCGTTGAGGCAGCGGCGCCGGTCCACGCTGGCCAGGTTGCCCTTCTGGCGGTGCACCGTGTCGTAGTCCCTGGGCGGCAGCAGGATGGGCGCGTGCGTCGCGTCCGTGTCGGCGCCCAGCTTCTCGCGCAGCTCGGCCGCCAGCGAGTCGTACAGGTTGGTGACGCGCTCCTCGCGCACGACGAAGCCGCCGCCGCTGAGGCGCTCCGACGAGGAGCCGCCCGAGGACTCGGACTCGCGGGTGGACCTGCCGTCCGAGCCGGGGCTGTGGCCCTGGCCCGCGCGCCGCGGCCCCGGCGGCAGGCCCCCGAGCAGCCCCTTGGTGCGCAGGCGCGCCTCGATCTCGGCCAGCTTCTTCTGGTTGTCGGGACGCTCGATGAGGGTCTGCAGCTGGCCGCACAGGATCTGCGCCGTCTCCACCGAGTCGCAGCGGTAGGCGTGCACGTGCACGGGGCACTTGGTCACGGGGTTGTACAGCAGCAGGATGCACGCCACGATGTCCTCCTGCTGCAGCACGCACGTGACGGCGTGGTGCGGGATCAGGTGCTTGACGGTCTCGGCCTTGGCGGGCTTGGCGCCCAGCACCTTGGTCGCGCCCTTGGCGGCCGCCGCGCCCGACGCGCCGCCCGACCCGGGCACATTCTGGACGATCTTGAGCCCCTTGTGGCTGACCTGGAGCGTCACCTTGAAGGGCTCCACCTCGCGCTCGCGCTCCACCAGGCTCCGCACCACGGGCAGCACATACTCGGGCCCGCGCAGCCCCTTGGCCTCCTGCGCGCCCAGGAACCACACGTAGTACGACGACTTCTTGATGTCTTTCCTCATGGCGCTATCCTCATGCTGCCTCGCTGGTGCTGGTGGGTGTTGTGGTGCTGGTGATGGTGGTGATGGTGATGGTGGTGGTGGCTGCGGACGATGCGTTCATAATCCAAGATTAATCCACTGGCTGGGCGCCGCGCGATGGTGGTGCGGGTGGTGACTCGCTACTACACTGCAGGTTACGCGACCCCCACTTTTGTTTTTAAATATATTTTTTTTCGAAAACAATCCCGGACCTTCCCTGAGGGGTAAAGGCCAATGACGCGAGAGAAAAATAAAACTGACAAGAAAATGATAAAAATGACAAAACACTATCAACGCGATAAAAACCTGCCGATGCGCGTTCACCACCGTCACCACCACGATCGAAAACACTGACGCTAAGTAGGCGCACAATCACACGAGCCGGACGCGGTTCTCGCGGATGATCGGCAATCGCGGGTTGCTCAGAGCCCCGGCGCGGCGCACGCTATGCACAGGTGCGGGGTGTGTCCCCGATTTCTTCTTCTTGTTCGGAGCGCGCGCGCGGCGCCGCGGTCCGCCTCGCCTTGCCTCGCACGCTCACCAGGGCTCTGCTAACGGGAGAGAGAAGGCAGGGGGGAGGGGGGGGGGCACTCGCGGGCTCTCTCACTCACTCACACACACACGCGCGCGGCGCGACCAAGGCGGCGGCAGCGACACTCGCTCGCGAAGCAAAACGACCCGGCGGCGTCTCGGTGTGGCCACAGTGCCGGTCCGCAGGCGACTGGCTCAGGGATGTTAGACGGCTCCCAGCGTATTATCGTACCAACTTTCCGAAATTATCGTACGCAGGGTCAAAATTATCGTACATTTCAAAAAAATTACAATTTTGGCCCAAATAAAGGAAAATTTACATTTTAACAGTATTATAAGTGTTTCTATGTAGCTAAAAGGTCGCTAGTTAAAGAGAAAATAAGGTTTCGAGGCTGCGTTTCTCACTCAGAGGTTGGCTACAAAGCGGTGGTGGGGACTGGGCCCGAGACTCCCCCCTCCTTCACCCGCTGTCCCTCGTCCCTCTCCCTCCTTCTCTCTCTTCGCTAGGTATGCTTCTCTCTCGCGGAGTTGTTGCTGAGGGGTGGAGGGGGGCGAGCTTGCGCGCGGCAAATGGAATTTTATTCAAACTGATGGAGTTTCAGCACCTTACGAGAGCCATATATAGGCAATTATAGGGTAAAATCGGTCCAAACCGAAATTATCGTACATTTGGCGTACGATCATGGGTCACGATCGTACATCGTACGGAGGGTCGAAATTATCGTACGCGTACGATAATATCGTACGCTATAACATCCCTGCACTGTCT